TTCTATTGTTTTCTAGTATACTAGAGTTTAATGACTCGATCTTATATTATTCTCTCATGGTAGAATATTCTACCATGGTAAGGGTTGTACCCTTATAGTGTATGATTTTGATTTAATAAGTTCAATTCTATTAATTATAGTAGATTTTTGAATTGAGCCTTTTCCTTTTCTTTTATGGTTAGCTTTTCATAACTATAATTAAATTTTATTTACCATGGTAAGATTGCTTGGGTAGTCATTCCCTAACTTCAATAGTAATATGTGGTTACATAGTTAAGTATTGTAGTAAATTAGGAATTATTACCACTTGGTAATAGATTCTCGAGTGTTGAGATTTGGTCTTGTGATTCTATGCTATATGAAAATTTTGCATTTGCATATAGGGCTAGCAATGATCATTTTACACATATTATTTCCCTTTCGCTTATGGTAACTGAATTGCTTTCTTTTAGTGTCTACTTTCATCTTTAGGAGGAGAGAATAAGAAAGAAGAGAAAGGCACAAACCACTAATATACCACCATTACCTCAAGGAAACAACACTTTTCTGAGGCAAATGAAGGAGGTAGTAATAGACCTTAAGGAGAAAGTGCATTAGCATGAGAAAGAGATAGGTGAAATGAAATGCAAAAAAGGTAATAACCATGATGGTAATTAGGGTTCTAATACACAACAGAACCCTGCCATCCTTAACACTGGAGTGACTCACCTTCCCTTATGTTAAGGGTGTAAGAAGAAGCAAAAAGGAAAAGTTTTAACGTGCAATAAATGTGGGAAGCACTTATATTTTCCCAATTTAGTCTATTTGAAAAAGGTGATGTATTAAAATTTTAATTATCATTATTGAAGTACTTATAAAAGATATTTAATGAAAATATACTTGAAAAATGTAAAATATTTTAAGAGATTAAAATTTCAAATAAATTTTTCTTATATCCATAAAATAATTACTAATACTCTATATTATATATTCTAAAAAGAGAATAAGATAGTATTTTTTTTGTTAGGCAATCAATTATGCATTAAGCTTATATTACAAATCACACATTCCTTTTTGTTATTTTATGTTCAATTAAAAGTCAAAGTTAACTTTTATTCACAAAAAAATTATATTATACTATTTTTAAAAGTTGGATGATAACATTATATCAAAAATGAGTTTAGAGTCTCAAACATTTATGAACAAATAGTTTAAAGGTCAATTGTTCTATTACCCTAAATAAAACAAGTTCAAGTAGTCTATTCTTCATGTGCATGCATCCAATAAATTGCTCCAATCCTGGATTTGATATGTATCTCTGCATTATTTAGTTTCTAACAGGTTTTTTCTTTTCATAACTTGCTGATGTTTTATTTGCTAAACTTGACGAGGGAGATTAATCAAAGATACAATACATGCCTAAAATCACTTAACGATCCAAACTAGAATTAAGTATATGATTAAGAGAGAAAAAGAGCTAAAACCATTTTCTCTAATGTATAAATTTTATAATGTGGTCAAGGACAAAATTACCTTAAGTTAATACAAAAAGGAATACTTGACTCTAAAATTGATAATTAATTAGGATCTTCTTCCTCGTCTGACTTATTTAATTAAACTTACTAGTGTAAGGCCCATTTGGTTTATGATTTTTGACTCATGAAAAGTATAAAATATTAAAATTAGGTGAAACATTAATTTTTTGAATTTTTTTATATTTTTTCAAGTATACTCTCATTAAATATTTAATATAAGAATCTTAATAATGATAATTAAAATTTTAATATATTATTTTTTAAAAAAAAGTAATAAATGACATACAAATATAGTTAAAAAATAATTATAAAAATCACTTAATATTCTATACTTAAACCAAAAAGAGTTTTAGAAGACAGCGCATATTGTGGTAAAAAAAGTACACAGAGATATATAAATGACTCAATGTATCTAATAAAGTATCATATATAATAAAACAATCACTCACTATTAATAATCATAGTTTGATAATTAATTTGAACATTTATTAATATAATATAAAGAATAAAGGTGGAAAAAGGATGCTAAGATTCTTCTTGGTTTTCTGGCCAACAAGGATGCTAAGATTCAGTCAAGCCCATGAGCAAACCTTTTCTTTTTCATGTATTATTTGATTTGGATGCATTGATTCGTGAGAAACCATATCCATCCGTTTCCCAAAGAAAAGTCAAATTTGAGCATGAGCAAAGATTACAATACTGCGTTGCGGCCTTTTATTTCCCCTATAAGAAGAAGAAGAAGAGTACAATACTGTAAATCAATGTTTTTAAAATTAAATCGGGCCGGACAGTTAGATCAATCCGACCATTAATCAGTCTAAATTTTGATTTGGTTCATATAAAAAAATTATTTTAGAGGTTTAGTTGTTTTGAACCGGTGGTTGGATCGGGAATCAAAATTAAGCCGGGAACCGTATCCGATTTTCAAAAACCAAACTATTAAAAAAAACTTTTTTTATTTTTTTATCAAATTTTTTAAAAAAATGACTAATTTTTTTAATCATTTGATATTATGTTGTATCATGTGACTTATTAAGTCATAATAAATTTAAAATATTTAATTTTTTTAAGTTAAGTAGCAATTTCATATGTATTTCTTATATTTAAATTACTATATACATATATAATTTTTTTAATTTAATTATTATATCATCGGTCTGACTATTGGTCCATCCAATTAAACCATGTGAACTGTGAACTGTTGAGTTTTTCAATTCAATATCCAATTTAATTTTGACAACATTGCTGTAAACACCATGTAATGAAGGCACACACAATTCCTAGGTTTTTGTGGCCTGTTTGGAACCACATTTGTAACGCTTGATCAAATTTAAACATTGTTGCATGTTTGGTTTTTAACAGTAAAAATAAAAACAAAGTTAGTTTGCCAAAAATAAACGTCACTTTCTTAAAAAAGGACAATTTTATTTCTACAAAATTACAGTATGCCCTTGTGCGATGCAGAGGGAGATATCAGCGTTACTGATTTGTTTTTTTTTTTTTTCCAAAAAAGATGTTATTGTTTTATTCACTATAGAACAAACAATAACAAAGAATTATATGTTAGAAAAGAAAAGATATTCTTTATTTAAAAAATATGTCAACCAAATAGGTTATATCAGAAGAATGAATTTTTTTAAAAAAAAAATTTAACGTCTAAAAAATGATAACCAAGCAAGCTGTTAAGTCAAAAATTAGGGAATAAGACTTGTTTTGAACCCATATTACAAAGTCTGGCTTTGATGCTCATCCCTCATCTTTGATAAGATCTAAATGAGTCAAATTTAGTCTGAATGGCCTAAATTTAAAGTATTTATTTTTTATTTTATATTTATCAAAATAAAAATTTATTTTCATTTAAATCAAAATTTATAAAATCTATTTTTATTCAAATAAAATTTTTATATTTTATTTTTATTAAAATAAAAATTATAATTTTCTAATAAATCTACTTTGTCACTAGTCTTAACAATACATATTTAATCTGAATGGTTCAATTTAATATTAAAACTTTTACTAATTTTTATAAATTGATTATCTAGAAAATTTATAAAAAATTTAATATTAAATTTGGATTGTTTAGAATATAATTCAATAATTAATTTATAAAAAATCTAAAAAATTTAATATTAAATTGAACCATTTAAATTAATTTGGAACATTTAAAGTAGTGTGAACAGATTTTTAAAAAAAAACTTTTAAATTTTCATAATCTTATTTTGATAGATGTAAAATAATAAAAAGGGAGACTATCAATGAAGGACCTTTAAAAGATCATAATATCTGATAAGGACTTGAATAGATAAGATAATTGCTAAAACAAGAACTTTACTTATTAATTGTTGATGTTTACTTGTTAGCAGACATTATTCATTTTATGCAATTAAATTGTTTTTAAGATCTTTGACTGATATTCTCTAAAATAAAAATTAAAAAAATAAAAGCTTTAAATTTTAATTGTCTAAATCTCATCAAAGATAATGAGTACCATAACACTCTTCTCCTAATAATCATTGAAGCCAAACCCATTCCAAGATCTATTGCCACTTTTTGAAATGCACACATCTATTTCCAGCCACACCAACAACCTGACACATCTAACCACTAGTACTGGATTTTATGAACGTGATTTATTATTGATACAAGAGCCTTGAGCAATTAACTTTGTAGGTGCACCATCATGCATTTCACCCTCAATTTATTTTTTTTCCTGTTTCCAATTACATGATCACTTGAAGAAATCAATTCTGCCTAACATATATTATAGACTTAAACTACAAATCTATCCTCAAAATTTTCACCCACATGTACCTCATATTTTTAAGTATTTTCTAGTGCAATGTGTAATGACCTCCATCACTATCAACATCTATTTGCAACACTTAAAATCAACAAATTAGATTAAGAAAGATACCAAAGGGAAAAATGATCAACCTTGTCTATTTAGAGCTCCAAAGGATACTTATTATTATTTTGAAGAAAAGGGATCTCAAAATAACTTCAATTTGAAAAAAATAAGATAAGGCCCTTGAAAACATTTAAAATCAAAGTACACAATGTTATAGATGCTTAGAAAATTGGTTAAGCATTAAAATAACTTAAACAAGGGTAAAAGAGTCAATTTGTAACACACCAATTTTTTTTAAATAATTTAACTCAACCATAGTTGGGTTACAGCCACCCAACACATTTTTATATCAATAATTTCAATATAAAATATTTTATAATTGGTTTCAACTCACACAATATAACATTTTAGATAAATTTTTACCTCTCACATGTCATTAGGCTAAATCACATTTATCCATCCTTATACTTCCAACAAGTAAACTAAATCACATTTGTCCATCATTATACTCCCAACAAGTAAAATAAGCAATTTAGTCAATTTTCAACACAAGCCAGTTATTTGGCCTTATAATCATGCCATTTTAACCAATCCAAAGTAAACCAAATATTAAAATTACAGTCATCCAAAGTGTATCAAAAATAGAAATAGTTTGAAAAGTATGATTACATTTATATATTCATATAATTATCAATAAACAAAAAGTCCTAATATTGACAATATAACACATTATAAATCATAAATCAAATACCCAAAAGAGACAGTGGATCTATGCCACTAAGCCTCTGGGACTCTTCCACGTGTTACTCGTAGCTCTTCTCCTGAAAATTATTAATCATATAAGGAGACTCAAAAGTCCCAGTAATCATAACCAATTTATGATAGTATATACAAACAGTTAAGTGTGTGCTTATTAAGTGAGAATTAAAAATAATATAATTCCAACACATATAAGAAATATTACAATACACACAAATAACCATCCTTATATCCCTCCATTAACCTAGAGCCGTAGCCCTCACTCGGTGCTAAATTACCCGGCCAAAGGTGGATTAGCTCGAGCCCTTACAAGCCACCTATTGAGCTCCAATAGGGACGTACCACGTGGCACATAAATATAACAACAATAGCAAGTCTTCCAACACCTCCCACAATAATTAAACAAATTCATAATAATATTGCATAATTATACAATATTACAAAATTCATAATTTTCTCAATAATCACCCAATTAACATGAAGTAACACTAATCACAAATTAAAAGCATGGTTACCTCGTGGCTTTTTCAATAAATTATTCCTTACAATTTCTCTCCCACCACAATCTTCACCAATAATACAATCTACAAATAACATATTATTTATAAATATTAGTTTCAATTTTTGAAACTAATAAAATAATTCTAATAATAGAATTAAAAATATAACATAATTCTTAATTTTAAATCTTAATACAAATCTAGAGTTAATACTATTAAGTAAAATTTTTAACTCCTTTTTTACTTATCAATAAACATTAATAATTTAAAAATCAACTTCTAAACTAATTTCTATTATCAAAATTTTTTTTATTTCATAAATTCGCACCTAAAATACCCAAAAATTAAAAATTAATTCTCTAGCTTAGAATCATAATCCTATAGCCATAATAATTCATTTCTCATCTCAAATAATCATCTAAACCTCAATAAATTAACATATATTTTCAGATCTAGTTTAGAATTTGATCCATAAGCCACAAATTCAAAGATCATCAATAAATTTATACTTTAGAACATTTATTATACTACTAACAACCTCATAAATCATACTTATTCAACATAAATTCATCCCTCTTTCTGATCTTAAATTTTCTACCACCACAAAATCAGAAACCAAAGAGAAAGGATGACTAAGAAAATTTTTTAGAACACTTACTTAGTTTTGAAAAGCTTAAAATCACACCCTAAATATCCTATTAAAAACTCTTACCTTAAAACCCAGCACCGGTGAACTTAGCTCACAGACGCTCTCTCTGCCTCAGCTCACGCACGAAGGAAAGAATGAAGAAATGAAGAAAACATGTGAGTTTTTATAAAAAAAAATTCAGTGAGTCCCACATTTTTTATTATTATTTTTTCTTTCCTCTCTCTTCTTTCTTTTTTTTATTATTATTATTATATAAACATAATCATTGCACCGGGAGAGCACCGAAAGTTCACTTCTTCTTCCCCCTTTTTTTTTTATTCATACCTTTCTCTTTTTTTATAATAATAATAATAATTTAATAATATATTTTTTTAATTAATTAATTAATTTAATTTTTAAAAAAATTTAATTTAGAATTATATCCTAAATTAGATTTAATAATCATTTTCTACTAATTTGCTTACCTCTAAATATTTTTTAAAATTTCTATTAACCCAAATTAACTATTAAAATTTAAATTGGGATGTTACACAATTTTCACAAACTAGACCATTTTTGCAGCTAGACACTTCATTTGGCATGGCTCATGGTGTAGGGATCACTTGCCATGGTCAAGATCACAATCCGTCATGGCCAAACCTATCATTTGTCACAACTAACACCCATTTTGTCATTCAACGTGGCTCACTAAGTTATTTGCCGTGACCAATGGACTGTATCAGCAGACAACGTAAACAGCCTATGAGAATCAACTTTTGGGGTAACTAACTTTTAGCTCACTAAGTTGTCTGTCATGACCAATGGACTGTATCAACCATACATCATAGACTTGCATGATTAGTCACCATTACCAAAACCAAATGGGAACCATTACAATAATTGCCTAAGTCAACATCATATATGCTTGTGTCTAAGCAATAGAACCATAGTTATCCAGTTTATCATCAAAACCAAGCAATCAAAAAAAGAACAAAAGAATACTTGAAAGAAAAATCAATCACTAAATCTTCTATTAAACTCAATAAAAAAAAGGCTCTAGCCAGTGCCACAATAGGCCACCATTAATGGTAATTCAAGTTTCAAGGTTGACTAGGTACTATGTACAAACATAATAATTTATATCTTTTAAACCATGCCAGTTTTCTAAGTTTGTGCAATAGGATCACGACATGTTGGGCCTTTTCATTGATTTTTTTAGCTGTGTTTTTACTCATACGCATTTTTTTTCCTAATTAAACTTTATGCTTTTCTTAGGCCATTATAAGTCATTTTTACTCAAACTTTCATATCTTTATATATAGAGACCCAATTACCCAAATCAAAAAAACCAAGGTAGTAAGGTACTACTAGCACACTCATGGCTTCAATTTCACTATTTGATGTAAAGATTGACATTAATTATGAAGATGGTTACTGAGTATAATTGAGTTAGCAGAGTGGATTTTTAAACATTTTGTTCTCTCTCTCTCTCTTTTTCTTTTTCTATTCCATGGAAGCATACCCCAAAACTTCTACAAGCCTCTCTCTCTCTCTCTCTCTTTCTCTCTCTCTCTCTCTCACACACACACACACACACTCGAAAACATAGGAGATAATACTTTTTCTCCCTTTTAGTCTATATTACCCTAAAAGCTTTCATGTAGTCAAGCTACTATATCTAAAATGACACAAACACTGACACAACATCTAAAACCACATACCTTTGAGCTTATATTAATCCCCCCCAACACATACAAAAGAGATAATATTTTGTCTTCCTTTTAGCCTATATTACTCGAGAAGGTTCTTTGTAGTCAAGCTACTAATTCTAAAATAATTGAATTTATTCAAAGATTTGAACAGTTAAATTAAAATAAGCATTCTAATTTTTGTAAAAAAATTAAAAATAAGCCTAAAATTGAGGATAAAATCTACCATAATCCCATTGCTAAGGAACTAAATATGCAAGTGTTATAAATATTAACCTTAAAGCCCTCCACACTTAAATCAAATAGTGTCCTTACTGTATAAGCCAAAGCAATAAAATATAAGGGAAATATAAAAAAGAAACTAATACTCTCCTTAACTCTCCTTAAGATAGGTGGTACAATAATGTGAGGGTGGGGTGTAACTAGCAAGGTCAGTTGCTACATCCGTCAACCAGTCCTCAAAAAATGCAATGAATAGATGCATAGGATTTGCAAAAACTCAGCCAAGTATGGAATAAAACCAAGCGCTATTCAAAAAGTTGTAACAACTATAGAACAAATGATTAGAGACCATATAATCAGTTATTTAAAATGAGCACATGCAAAAACTGAAGATGAGAACATGTGATCAATAAAAAAAATAACAAATAGGCATGTATGACAATGACTTTTAATAATCAAGCTCACAAAAGCTAGGCTGTGAATAAGTAAAGTCAAACAGAGGTGATCTAATAACCAAAAACATACTAAAGTTGGCCATCTAATAGCATGAGAACAAATAAACTCATATTAAACACTAAAATATCTATTAAACATCAATAATCAAAGAGAAATTTATCTACAAAGCATAAAGGTATATAGAATTCTTAAGCATTAAACAGAATTAGCCATACATGACTCTAAATATACAGAAAAATCGAAAATCAACATAAGGAATGGAAAGCATAGACTAGAAGAAAAGAGTTTTTCATAAAATCTGCTCAAATCGCTCTCCAATCTTGACTATGCCTTTAAGACTTGGTTGGAGCTCCAAAATCAACTTCCTAACTTGAAACTATTCAAAATGTAAAAACCATTGAAACCTTAACCTCTCACGACTTAAAACCAAAAGAAAATAATGCTATGCATTTTGCTGTCTAACGTGGCCATAGCTATCCCTTGTTTCTTTGTTGTTCTGCAACACATGCTTACCATAGCAGGGGCCATGGTCACCTTTTAGAATATTCTTTTTAGAATTCTTCTTATTTTTCTTTTTTCAATTTCTTTCCTCTTCTTATCAAGGTGTCCTAAAATATAAGCACCACTCATTTTACTCAAAAATGCTTCCAAATTATAATAATTAAACAAGAATAACCTATTTGTAAATTGTGACAAATTAATGAGAAAATGAGTTTGAAATTAGCTAAAAAAAAGGAGATGACTCTCTAATTGCTAATAAAATCTATTCAAAACATATAAAAATTAGAGAGTCATCAATAGACTCATGCAATTGCAATATATATTCCAACAATTACAAACATCTAATGTTGTCAATAATAAGTATTCAATTATACAAACTGAAAGTCCGCCCAAAGAAATTAATCTACAATTAACAAATAATAGACAACATTAATGACTAATCATCTTTAATTAACTTTAATCACAATTAAGGCTTTAAACCCTCATTAAGCATGATCAAGTAAAATCAATCCTAAAACTGACTCCAATTAACTTATTTAACTTTTATTAGCTTATCTAATACTGTTAATCCATTGTATTAGCTTAAACTAGGTTAATTTGTATAATGGTTAATTTTGAACCCATCTTTAACACTAATAACCACTATCATTAGCATAAAAAATAATTATAAACTTAAATAACCACTTTTAGACTCCATTAAAATCATATGGGTAGCTGGGACTCCCATTCATGTTCGAATATAGCTCCCAACCTAGAAAAACTTGAAGAAAAATGCACAAAAAGGGTAGGGGAATGAGTGGAGAAGCTTACCTAAGGATTTGGTAACCCAAAAACACCTCCAAGCATAGGTAGAGTCAAACCCTAGTAAGGCTCCATGCTTCTCTCTCAGTTTCTTCTCAACTCTCCCTCTAGTTTTTGATTCCATTCGTGTCTCTTAGATTTAAAATCTAATGTGTCTACCATGGCGTATGGCATTGTCCTACATAATGAATGGCACAATTTAAGAACCATAACTTAAGCCCATTAATTGAGGCCCACAGTAGCCCAATAACTCTTCTAGTCCCATTCTAAGCCCTGTATAGGGTCTAATAGATCTAATGATCATTCAATTACTCTAATTATTCTCATTAGAACCTAGATTAATTATTTTTAAACCTTAAATTAATTTTAATTAAGCATATAATAAATTTTGAAATGTTACACAATATTACCCCTAACTTTTTTCATTTTGGTACAATGCCGTCTTCTCATTACCCTTTGACCGGTTTGACCATTAACGTTGAAATTTTGATTGTTTTGTGCTTAGTTAGACCACCACCTCATGTTCCACGTATGTGAGTGAAAAAAAGAAGTGGGTCCATGAAGATATTTGAAATCAATTCTCCTTTCTCCTTCCTTTGCCTTTCCTAATCTATCGCTCTGAACCCTTCCCCCTTTCTTATCTTCTTCGTGCTGCTATCTTCCCTTCCACATCTTCTTTGTACAGAGTTATGGAGGAACCGAGAGCATGAGAGTGGATTTAGATTGAAGAATAAATGGATATGGATTCCATGACTATGGTGACAATGAGAACGAGAGTTCCTCCTCCTCAGCTTCAACAATGAGAGCTTATGATTGGGCTCCTTATAGGCTTAGGTTTTGAGTCGTTTATTTAGGAAGCTTGAAACGAATGAAAATTCTGTGTGAGCTGGTTTGTTTATTTTGATCTAATTTTGATCCATGAGTTTCAAAATGGAGAGCAGTGTTCCCTCTTAAATTGATGTGTTAGACTTTCTTGATTTGGATTGTTGATTATGATCTAGATTTGGTCTAGGTTTGTTTCAGTTAGTTTCAATTTTATTTGGATTGTCAATTGATTTGACCATGTTTATTTTTTAGTTTGTTGATTTGATTGATCTAGGTTATGGTTTTTTTGATTTGTCTTTTAAGTGTTAATTATGATTTGTCTTAGATGATTTTTTTTTTATTTTGGGGCGAGGTTTTGTTACGGTTCGTAATTGATCATGGTAAAAGTCAATGTTCATTGACTTCTTCTTCAAGAAGTAAAGATGATTGACAGAATTGAGAGAAATGCTTCAGTTTGGCAAGATATTGAAGAAGAATGAAGAAGATGCATGAGGGGGTGAGAAGGGAGAGGGGAAGCAGGAGAAGGGGATGAAGTTGGAGAGGAAGAGGTAAAGGGAAGATGAAGAATCTGATCTACATAGCTATGGATGAGGAGGATGTGTTTTTTTTTTCTTTTTTTTTTTAAATTTTTAAAATATGTCATGTGACTGCCAAAGAGGTATTTAATTGTCAAAATTAATATGTCAACGGTCAACATTTGTTGTCAAACCTTGTACCAAATTAAAAAATGTTGAGATGATGTTACACGAAAAAAAAAATAGAGAGAGAGAATTTATGAGATACATCTATATGAAAGAGAGAGAATTTATGAGATACATCTATATGAAAATTTTGAAAATAAATTTCTAATTTAACCTCATATTATACTGAATGGAGCCCAATTATTATTAATCTCACAAGATTAAAACTTACTCTTCCAATCTTATTATAAGTTATTTTTATCAACTTCATTAATATTAATATAATAAAAGTATAAGAAATAAAAGTAAGCAAAATTGTAAATATAACCCTTAAATAAAAAGTAAAAAATAAATAAATTATGTAATATTATTTCTTCTCTCTCTTTATTTTTAAGAATAGTTTTAAAATTTTAATTTAAAATAAAATATGTCTATCAATTAACAATTTATAAAATGAATCAAATAATATTTTTAAAAAAGAGTTTAATATACAAGTATGGAAGGAATGCGTGCTAATGGCCAGGTGCTTTTATCAATAGTGTCAGTCCTGATTCGTCATGGAAAAGTCAGCCAAAGTCTTGCTTAAATGCGATAACAATCATGACAGGATTGCATAAAAAACAAGATCGCACTAGATTTTATCTTAACCTAAAATTTAATCTTTTTTATAAAAAAAATTAAATTAGACAACCTATAGTTTGATTTTTTTTAATAATAATTCAAAGATTAATAAAACTAAACTTAATCTATAGGATTAAGAGACTGGTCCTATCAGTCTAATACTTATTTAGCTTTTTTTTCTCTTTATTATATGATAGGCAATAATTCATTTCAACATAATAAACTCAATTAAGATAGTAAAAACACTTATAATAATAATAAATTCATAATAATTTTCAACAACAAGACAAAAAAAATCTCTGTTATATGATTTAAATTTATAACTTTAATAAAAACAGCACTTAATAAAATTCAACAACACTACATTACAATAACAATTTAGAAACAAACTCAATAAATCTTTATACAATCATTTCCTTAGCATTAATTACACTTCAAACATTTATCAAAAATAAATTAATTATAATTATAATAAAAAAATTAATAGGACTGAACTGCACCAAGTGATCTGGATGTTTAGTCTCTTGTCTAGTCCAACCTAAAAAAATAGTATGATCTTTTTAGTCTTTTTGATCCTAAAGGATCAATGTCCATGTGAATCAAACAAGATTGAGATCCTCTCATATTAGATTGAATCAGATAAAACTAAAAGACTTTTATACAGTGCTAAATCATGGTTCATAGACTCAACAAACAGATCACATGATTTTGGCATCCTCTATCAACACATACACCTATCAATCAATCACCAGAGATGTAAATGGGGGATTTGGTTTTGGCGCTTAGCACCAATTAACACAACCGCAGTGCTGATTTTTTTCTTTTTCTTTTTAACCACAAAATAATAATAATAATAATAATAATAATAATAATAAATATGATAAAATTATTATTTTAATATTTAATAAATAAATTTACCTTGTTAAAATTTGACATAAATAGTTTAGATAAAAATTTTGATTTTAATCAATTAAAAACTGTATTGAAAAAATAAAAAAAATGACACAAAGAGTTTAAAATAAGGGTTGAATATAGTAAAATGAGCTAGTTTCTCACAATATAATAAATTAATATTTAAATTTTTATTAAGAGAAGTGCATATATGTAATACCCGATTATGCTTCGAATGATATTATCTCTCATAAATAGATAGCTATTCAAAATCAATAAAATAAAAAATATCTTATGAAACATTTTTAGTTATAGTTCTAATTTTTTTTATTACAATTCTAAATTATTCAAACTAAAATTTATATATGAATTGTTGAGGTCAAATTTTAACGAGTTAAATTTATTAAATATTAAAATATTAATTTTATCATATTTATTTATTTATTATTATAATAATTTTATGGTTTAATGAACAAGAATTGCCACCAATTCTCGATCCTAGAGACTTAGACTAGCATTTGGAGTTAGTCCACCAGTTCACACAATGCCTCTGGAAGAAAAATATAAGCCGAAGAAATTCACGTTTAAGACTACAAATTAACACTGCAAGGGTAGCATTAATTGGTGTTGAGCATCGAAACTGAACCCGGTAAATGGGGTACTCCAATTTTAGTCCCTTTTATTTGTAGAAGTTATTAATTTAACCCTTTAAATTTAATTTATATCATTTCATCCATATCTAATGTTTGCTTTAGATATCTAGTTAGTTTTCTAAGTTTTGCAAGATAAATTAATCCTAAAAAGATTGTTATGTAAATTAAGTTGTTAATGTGAAATGCACACATGAATTAATTAATATACATAAATTAAATTTCCTAATCCTAATTGCTGACATATTATTAACTTTACTATTTATAATTCTTAATCTAATTTACACGGCTTTTTCACCTGAATATGTTGCTCCCCCCCCCCCCTTCTTCCTTGTCCAAGTTTGCATTCTTGCTTCTCACATTATTAATCTATATAAATGCCAAATCATCATTTCATTAGCCATGCATGTCAACACAATTTAACAGTATTAATTTCGAGAAACCAAATAAACAACACCCCCAAGCACAACCATGCAAGGGATTAAAAATTGTATTATCTTAAAAATAATTTTCCTGATTCATACAATTGTACGATAATACTGATCAGATGGTACATTTTTCTATGCGCTGTTACCAAGATGCACATTTCGTTGGAAGCTAAGACTATTAAGAACAATGGTAGTTAAATTACCAGTTAGTCATGAAGCTAATCAATGATTGCAAGACGAAGGAGAAACAAATTGATCAAATTTTTCCCTGGTGGCCTTCTGCATGCTGAACAAGATATTGTGCCAAGTGTTCACTCTGGACTGGGCCTTCACATGCAAGCCCACGTTCATCTCCGCCAAATCCTCCGCCGCCACCGTCAACACCTCCTCCGGCTCGGCGCCGTCCAAAATCCAGATCAAGCACCAGCAGAAACCCTTCGATATCTCAGAATCGCTATCGGCTCTGAATCTCATTCTCCCACACTCGTCCATCTCCGCAATCAACCACACCTGAGTTGTGCATCCCTTCACTCTGTTCTCCGGCACGCGGGCCGATTCGTCCAGCGGAGGCAGAAGCGCCGCGAAATGCAACAGCCTTTTCACTCGATCGATTGGCTCCGAGAGAGACCTAAATTCCGAAACGAGTTGATTGAGCTTATCGGCGGCGGCGACGACGTCTGACGGTAAGGCGACGGCACAAGAAAAGCTAGGGATTCGAGGAACGGAATTGATCTCAGAACGGGATCTGTGAAGCAAGCGATTTCCTCCATTGTTGTCGACCCAGAGTTTATATTTGACGACGTGTTTAGGAGTGAAGGGATTACGATTCGACAGTTTTGGGAAGAGATAGGAATGTGAAGAAGAAGAAGCAAGACTGGTGAATGACTTTGGAGTAGCAGAGACCATGGTGTAGAATCGGCTTCAGTGAATTGTGAAGAAGAAAACTATGAAGTGATCATGGAGAAGAGATCCATGAAGTTAGGAAAATTATGAGGCTCGTATGATTCTCTGGTCAAAGACGGAGACATAAGAAACAGAGTAAGAGAGTGTTGAAGTTTCAAAATCTTACGTAATTGCTTACGGCGACCACAGCAGCCAGGCACTTACGTAATTGCTTACATTACAACAAACTGGTTTGTTGTCCAGTCTATTCCATTAATTCTGGGAAGAAAAAAAAAATCTAACGTCAGGCACATTAGATATTTATAAACTGCATACTATATATTTTATATTTTATCTTTTTTTTTTTTTGTTAAACAGAGCGGGGCCCAAGCACCAAAAAAAAAACAAAAAGGGAAAATAAAAAATTAAATACTCAAGACTCTCTGATAATTCATCTCCATGTGTCATCCAGTCCAGTCCATTCCATTAGTTCCAGGAGTGTCCCAATTCTTCTGGTAAACTTATCCGCATCTCTACATGTTAATAATCTTTCTATCCTCTGGGCAAGTGTCTAAGAATCCGACTCAATGATGACAGCGTTACCCTCCACCTGTATCAATAAAGCCTCACCTCAGCATCTTCCACCGAGCACCTCCACAACTTGCTTCACCATTCCTACATTAATGTTTAGTTTAATCCAAGCAACCTGAGGATTTTCCCATTTAACACCAGTAGCTATGGTTCAAATACGCCTGCAATTTTGGTTCTGGACCTCCTTTATCTCATTTGCATATTTTATTTTTTAATCACAATTACAGGCTCAGCTGGCTAACAAAACCCAGCCTCAAACAATTGGCAATTTCTCCAAGTCCGCGAAAACCAAGCTCCATTGGCCAACACCAGATTCCACTCACCATCACAATTCCTGTTTTCTTTCTTTTCTTTTCTTTTAAGGTTTAACAGCACCCACCCACGCAAAGGAAGAAAAAATAAAATTAATTAGAGCTGGTAATTTAGATAGCCTGAACTCGCAAGAAAAAGTTAAGGCTGAACTTAATTATATAGACTTTTTTAAGAAAATAGGATATTTTAAGCCTAATTCGAATAAGCTTGTTTGAATTGAGCTCAACCGTTAAAATTTTTAGCTTTATGTATATGTAAAGCCAATAATTTTAGCCAAATCTAACAGTCTAGTTTGAAATTTGGTAAAAAAAAAAAGTTAAAACCATACTTAATTATATAAGTTTTTTTAAAGAGAAGAGAATAATTTAAACTTGATTTAAACAAGCTCAACTTCTCGTACTACTAACTCTAATATTAATATTTCGCTCCCGCTATTAGTAAACAAAGAGTAAAATTCTTCGACCTATGCTCTGTTTTACTTTAATTACAAATGCTTCTTATTTATTTTTGAAACCTATATAAATCTCCTCTGAATAGTTACAAAATATAAATATCCTTCACCGATTCTTCCTGCCTCCACCTCTAATATAATTCTTGCATATGTTTCTTGGGATAATTTGAGTGGTAGATGTATTCCGAACACTAGGAATTGGACTGCAAGTTTGGATAAGGATGCGTGGTGAAGAGATGGTGCTTGGCTTTTATGACAGATTGAACACTACATACCTCTTGTAATCATCTGTGTAGGAAGCTAAATAGTTATTTTCCCTCATTTTTAACCTTTCTCCTCCTTTCCTTGTATGCTCTGTTTCTTCTTCATTGCTTCCCTTAGAAAAGTTTGAGAATCAATCAGTATATATTTTAAAACTATTCCCCTACTTTCCCCTACCTGTAGCAACTTCTCCATCTTTTTCCCAGCCTGCTACGTGTCGTTTGGGAGTAAAATTTACCTTCCAAAGTGTCTCGTTACTTTTCCCATTTTTCCTTTTCTTACTTTTTATCACTTCTATTTGATTTTTTTATCCTTTTTCAAACATTACTTCAGTGGCGATTTTCTTTTTAAAATTTTAGTAAACACTTTATTTTATCTATCATTAACTAAAAAAATTATAAAAAATAAAAATATATATAAAATAATGAATCAAATTTAAGAAAAAAGAGAAAAAACATAGAAGCAAGAAATTAGTTACTTTAATTTTATCTTAAAATTTATCATTTGTTTACCAAAAAAATATAAAGAACGAGAAAAATGAAAATATAGCATCTTCATAAATAATTTTGAAAATAAAAATATTTTTACAAATAATAAAAATTATTTTATTAAGTTAATCACTACTTTAAGGAGCATATTTTAAAGGGTAAGACTTATGCAGTTAACTTTATATACTTATATCCAATGAAATCATAACAAATAAATCTTAATGTGTTAATAAAATTAATACAATAATTTATTATAGAATAAATAATCTATACAAGATTCACGTCCCTTGATTTGGTTGGAAACAAACAAATTAGGTATAAAAAGTTAAGTATATAAGTTTGCTCCTATTTTAAAAATATAATCTTATAAGATCTATTTCCAAGCCTTCTTTTCTCCTTTTCATCAGATCAAGTTAAGTAAAACTGATAATTTTCTTTAACATATTTTTTTAATATTTGATTTCTTTTAATATAAAATTCTACTATAACAAAAAAAAAATAGAGGCATCAAGCAGCTGAATTGAATAGTGCATCTTTTCCCCTATCATGACAAATTTCAAACTGTAGTATTTCAGACAAGTTGAGATTATTCAAATCAAATTTAAAGTATTTTATCTTACCTAAAATAATCAAGCTCACTTCTAACACCTTCGGGCTTATTCAGGCTGGCTCGAATATTCGAAACCTTTTAAAAATATTTTTTTCTATTTTATTTTAATTTTTAAATGATTTTGTTGAGCGTAAAATATTATTTTAACTTTAAAAGAATAAAATAATAATAACTTATCAACATTGTACTTAAGTAATTTTGTTATTATTTTGTTGTATTATATATAATTTATTTATGAATATTTTCTTTGCTCATAAATTAATGTCTCAATTATTTAAACATTAATCTTATCATAGTCATGAATAAATATTTTATATATTTTAATTAAATTATGTTATTTTAATTACAATTAAGTTAATCTTAATTCAATCATGATTAGATTACTAATTTAAAATTATTTTTTTAATTAGTTCAAAATTTTTAATAAATTTTAGATAAACTATATTTTTTTTGTAAGAATATGAGAAAAATAGTCATCATTATATTAATTAAAAAAATAATTTAAATATGAATAAAATATTATTTTTAGAATTATTTTTTCCTTTAACTTTTAATATAGTTTAAACTTTACATATAAGGGATATTTACCCTAATTTATTCTTAATTTTTAACTAAGTATAGTGATAACAATAGTCAAATGATTATCCAAAATATTATTTTTATTTATTATATTTATCTAGTAGTAAAGTTAAAAATTTGTACATATCTGAATTTTATTTTTAAAATTATTTTTAATTTAATTTTTATTTTAAAATTAATTATCTTATTTTGTAAAAAATATTTCTTGGATACTCAAATGATTATAGGACTTAAAAAATTTTCTAAAAAATAATTGAATCTTAAAATATTAAAATAAATATTAAAATATATTTTAAATATTATTTTAAAATATTTTATTGATAAAAAATGATAAAAATATATTTTTTTTTATTTTTTTAAAAAATAACTATAGTAATACATTCAATTATATGGTATTTTAGTATAAAATGACATAAAATTTAAAGAATTACTTAATATTTATTATATTTAAAAAAATACTATTTTGTTATTTGGGTATCTGATTGGGCTTGGCCCGAATCGAGCTAGCTCAAATAGGCTTGAAAATTTAAAAATATCATTTTTTTGAGCTTTGCCCTAAATTTTTTTAGGCAAATTCGGGATAGCCCGTCGAATTTAACCCAAATTATCACATCTAAATTGTAGAAAAAAGAGCTATAGAGCATTACAAGGTAAAAGCATGATTGTAGGTAGAGTTAAAAATTTGAGCGGGCCAAGCTTATTCATGTTTAGCACAAATAAGCTTGACTTGAATAGGCTTGAACCCCTAAAAAGCTCAAATGGTCAAGCCCTGCCCTGAATTCTTCTGGGTTTTGGGAGGCCTAAATATCTTAATTTATTTTTGCAACTATTTTTAATTAATTTTTTTACTTTAAAATTACTTATTTTATTTTATAAAAAATATTAAATATATTTTTTGATACTTAAACATATATAGTATTCAAATATATGGTATTTTATAATAAAATGAATTAAAACTTAAAGAATTAATAAATATTTATTATATTTTATATATTTTTTATTCAGATATTCGATATGACCTAAATTTTTTCAAGCCAATAGCCCAAATAGGCCCGAATATAGAAAACTATCTTTTTTCTAAACTCGATTTTAAATTTTTTTAGGTAGATTCGAGCTAATCTATTCTATTTTTAATTGTGAGAGTCAAAGGCAAAATGAAGCATGCACATGTCGCTTCAAATTTTAAAATCTAATATCTCCAACATCTCTCTTCCTAGTTGCAAAGGATGAGAAGGCCCTAAATAAGGGCCTACAATGTGGTCTATTTCAGGCCTAACTCAACCTATTTATTAAATAAGCTTATACTTTAAATTAAGTTTATTTATTTAAATAGGCTAAGGTTATTTTTTTAAGGCCTAACCTATAAACTTAACAGGCCGGCTTATATATATGTGTGTCATATAATATATCACAAACAATTCATTTTCACCCTTTGATTTTTAATCAATCTATCCTTTTTTTATTTCTAATTATATTTTCAATCATATTAGATTTATATATTAATTTTAATATTATTACGTTATTGTTATATTGTATCGTAGCTGGTAAGTCTTTTCAATTATTATGTATTGTAATTGATAAATTAAGTTATATATTATACATTACAATTATAATAATCCTAAACTATATTTGAGATATTTAAAACTAAAATACGAGCCTACTTTTAAATAGGCTTTCAAGTTAGGTCAGATAAGTTCAAACTTGAGTCATGAAAGAAGTCTTATACAGGTTTTAAGTCAAACTTAGACCTCTAATTTATCACATAGGTTTGAGTCTATTTAATCAAACCCTAACCTATTTTCACCTTATATTCACCTCCTAAGTCTTTCCGAATTTCAAATTTTTACTGTTTCTCATCATTTGTCGCTCTCTTCCTCATCATTTCTTTTACCT